GAAGGGCATGCCGCCCATGTCGCCTCGAGGGCGCAGGCGATGCCACATCCTCGCTTCTGCCGCTGTCACTCCACCTCTCCACTGGTACCCCTCCCTATCTGTGCTCCGCCCCAGCTCTTTCCACTTCAGCCCCTCCCTGGCCCTCCCTCCTGCTTGCCTCACCAGCTGGTCCATCCTCCATCCTCGCCCCCATCCATCATCCCCTCCCCCTTTTGAGGGGCAACGATAGGGGGGGATAGGCATAGGGGGGGAAGCATCGACCTGGAATCGGCGATGCATCGCCGATAAATCGGCGATAGGCCTCCGATCGCGAATCCGCACCTTCCTGGGCAGGTTGGGGCTATCGGGCCCCTATCGGCGATCAATGGGTGATTGGGGTTCGATGCATCCCCCCTTGTGCCTATCCCCCCTTATCGTTGCCCCTGACCTTTCCTCTTTCTTCCTCGTCATCATTGGGATTCGTTGCGCCGGGCTCTCCGTGCCCAGATTACCACCACCATCATCATGATCGTCCCAATCGCCACCACCCGATCGCCACCACCCAATCGCCACCACCCAATCGCCACCCAATCGCCATCATCATGATTGTCCCAATCGTCCCACCGGGCTCGTTGTCGTCCCAATCGCCACCACCATAATAATCGTCATCATCATCATCAGCGCGTCATCGTCCTCATCGTTTTCAACATCGCGACCACCACTGGCCAGGGGATGGCGATTGTCATTCCCTCGTATGCCAAGCCTACGAGAACGGCGCCCACGCACCACGCCATGCTTGGACCCCCTCCAGGCCCCACTCCAACGCGGTACGGTGCATGTTCGTGTCCAGCTTCGAGGGCCGAGAAACTATGCGTGGGTCTTGCGTTAGACAATCACGGCTTTCCGATCATGACGTCGTCATCACCACCATCGCCACTATCGCCAGCATCGCTATCGTCAGCATCTTCAGCGAAATCAGCATCGTCAGCACCACAATTATCATGACCATGATCATGATCGCATCATCATCAACATCATCCTCTTCTTCTTCTTCATCATCATCATCATCATCATCATCATCACCATCATCAGCATCAGCAGTACCATCAACATCGCCTCCACTACAATCAGAATCAAGACCATCAGCGTCGCCATGTTCCTAATCATCCTCATCATCAGCATCATCATCGATAGCATCGTCGCGTCGTCTTCGTCGTCATCGGCATCATCATCATCATCATCATCATCATCATCATCATCATCATCATCAGCATTGTCATGGTCGCCATCATGATCATCATCGGCAGCGCCATCATCATCATCATCATCATCAGCGACGTCAGCATCATCATCATCATTATCATCATCATCATCATCATCATCATAATCATCATCAGCATCATCATCATCGCCCTCAACATCATCCTCATCACCACCATCATCATCCTCATCATCAACGTATCGTCGCCGTCGTCGCAGTCGTCAGCAGCAAGAGAACTATCAGCAGCAGCATCATCATCGACAGCATCATCAGCTGTTCAATCAAGGCCATCAGCATCCTCATCCTCGGTATCCTCCCCAGCGCCATGACCATTACCATGATCACCACCATCATCATCGCCCTCACCAACACCACCATCATCACCAGCACCACAACCATCAGCAGCATCGTCATCATCACCAGAATCGTCACCATCACCATAACCATCATCACCACCACCATCACCATCAACATCATCACCATCACCAGAACCACTATCACCATCACCATCACATCGCCATCACCAGCACCAGAATCACCACCACCAACACAACGATCCTCTATCTCATCCTCATCCTCATCCCGCATCCTCCTCCTCCTCATCCTCAGCATTATCACCATCAACAATAATGTAAACATCACCATCATCATCACCATCAAATTCACTATATCAACCATCATCATCATCAGCAACATCAGTATCATCATCAGCATCAGTATCGGCATAAGCATCATCATCACCATCATCATCGTCATCGTCATCGTCATATTCTTCATTACCATCACCGTCACCATCATCAACATCATCAGCATCAACATCATAACCATCACCATCAACACTCAGTACAATCATCATCATCATCGTCAGCAGCAGCAGCAGCATCATCATCAACATCATCACAGTCACCAACACCATCACCAGGATCATAATCAGCAGCAGCATCACCATCAGCGTCAGCATCAGCATCATCAACACAATCAGCATCATCAGTATCATCAGTATCATCATCATCAGCAGCAGCAGCAGCAGCATCGTCGTCATCGTCTTCATCGTCGTCGTCATCATCACAATCATCATCACCATCATCAGCATCAGCATCAGCGTCATCGTCACCGTCATCGTCGTCATCATCATCACCATCACCATCATCGCCCCCTCCCCTCGCTTGCCAGCGGCGAGAGAGGCGCCTCCCTGCCCTCCTCCGGCCCCGAACTGGACCCCCGGGTTGAACATCATGAAGGGGGGCTGCTGCCCCCCGCCTGCCGCCGCAGCGTGAGGGCGAGGGAGGGGGGGGGGAAAGCTAGGCGCGCTGGCGTCATATCCGACGTCTGCTCCCTGCCATCCCTTGCATCGGGGAACAACACGTGGCATAAACACAAAAAAAAACTCGGAAGTCCGGGCGGATTCCTCGGATCGGCGCTGGACCCCCCTCCCTGGCGCGCGGAGCGCGCCAGGGGCGGCGCCAGAGGCGCCGCTGGGGGGCCCCACCGCCGATCCGAGAAATCCGCGCGAACCTCGGAGTTGTTATGTTCATGTCATTATTCGTTCCACTGAAGCTTGGCGCGCTGGCGTCATATCCGACGTCCTGCTCCCTCCCATCCCTTACGGTTGCGCAGGTCTCCTCTCGATTCGCCCAGTCGGACGTCGAACAGGGCAATGATCCCGAGAGGGTACGCGATGCGTGGTATAGCACGGCATAGCAGGGCATAGAAGAGCGCGGGCACAGCCGACGTCGTCGCGACGAGAACACGACTCATTTCGACAACAAAGTCAGAAGGAGACCAGACATGACACGGGACGGGAAATGCAAATGGACGGTTTGGAAAGCAGAAAACGCAAAATGAGATCAGCGCTGCGAAACGGTATAAATGAGACCAGAGCTGCAGTGGGAGCACGATTTGGAAAGACTAGAAGTGCGGAACCGAAGCCAAGGCTGCTGCAGAAACACAATTGGGAAGAACCGTCACAATGAAATGAGGTCAGCGCTGCAGCGGGCACATGAGTTGGAAGGACTGAGAATGGGAAAATGGAGCCAACGCTGCAGCGGGAGCGCTGACTATTCGGAAAGGACTGAAAACGTTCGGATTGAAAAAAACAGATTGAAAGATACAGGTGAACTCTCAGCCCAGCGGCATTAATTCTGTGTGCAGAAAGCCATGCGCGGAGGAGGCCAGGACACCTCGCCGGCGCCCTCGGGGGAGAGAGGAGCGTGTGCTCATATTGCGCAACTGTAGCACAGGCCATGGGGAGGGGGCTCTGGGGCCGTGTCCTCGACCGTCAGCGGGACGAGGACCCCGAGCTCGAGGTCGGGCGCGTCCTCCTACAGACGGACTTTGGACGGAAAATAACAAATTGTCAAGCCCGACTCCGAGCCCGAGCCCCAGCCCGAGCCCAGGCCGGAGCTCGCGCCCGAGCCCGAGCCCGGCCCCAGGCCCCGGCTCGCACCCGAGGGGGCGGGGGGGAGGCGCCCCGGGGGCCCGGGATCGGGGGCGGCCAAACGGGGGGGCGGCCCAAGAGGGTGGGGCTCAACTCATAACCGGCGGCACGTGCGCGGCCTCGGGGGGGGGGGCAATAGGAAGCCCATAAAGGACGTACGCGCCCAGCTATGTACATGAACACGGCCCCTCGATCCGCGAGACCGGCCGTGTTATACGACCATTTGCGCAATGCGTACTCTCGAAACCAGCGCGGATTCATGCACATGTACGTCCTGTTTTCGCTCCTGAGGCAAGAAGAGGCGCCAGGAGTACATGTACGTCCTGTTTTCGCTCCTGAGGCAAGAAGAGGCGCCAGGAAATCTGGGGAGACATCATGGCCCCCGCCATGACAGCCCCCCCCCTCGTCATCATCCCCCTCTTGGCCGCCCCCGAGGCGAGGGGCCCCGGGGGGCCCGCGCCCTCGTCACTGCACGGGCCTTGCAGACGTGCTGCGGCGGCTTATTGCGCGGGCATTTTCTGCCACTGCACAACCCCGAAGCAGCGAGCGAAAAACGGAATGAACGGCACGTGGGCTCTTTTTGGTCCTCACTCCTGGCCCCCAAGAAACTCCGCACGGAGTTCACCTCGAAAACCAGAGCGAAACTCTCCAGGAGAACCTGAGCCCACCCCATTGGTTTCCGAGCGAAATCCGCTCTGCGATGTTGGCGCCATGACCCTCGGGCACCAGAATTAGGACGAGGCCCGTCGCTCGGTCATGGGCCACTGGGGCTGGGCACATGCCCCAGCGAGGCCCCCCGCCCCCGCAGAGGAGTGCGCGCGCCCCTCGGCTCCTTCTCCTCCCTCCCCCTTTCCCTCCCGCCCCTCCTCCGGGCCCCTTCTCTCCCTCTTCGTGGCTTCTGCTCCTCCATCCCTCCCACCTCCCGCCTCTTCCTTCTCCAACGGCTCTCTCCTGATCCCCTCCTGCTCCCTCCTCCTCCCCGTCCTTCCCTCCCCCCCCCGCGCAGACGGGGGGGACGGGGGAGAACGGAGAGAAAGCGGTGGCGAGGGGAGGAGGTGGAGGAAGAGAGGCGAAGGAAAGGTACAAGACTCAAGGCACAAGCTGGGTGGGGGGGGGGCAGGGAGGAAGGGACAAGGAGGATGAAGATTGGACGACCATACTCGCTGAAGACAAAGAGAGACGAATTCAGCGGGGAGCGGATTGTCGAGCTTACCATCCTCGACCGACCCCTTGCCTCCTCCGCTCCTCCACCTGCCCTCCCAGGACCTCGGCCCAGAGGGCGCCAGAGGAAGAGGAAGGACCAGGGCAGGCACGGAGTACGAAAACAAGGCAAGAGGCGGACCAGGACGACGACGGCGAGGACGAGGACGAAAACAAGACAAGAGGACCAGGACGAGGACGGCGAGGACGGCGAGGGCGGCGCAGGCCAACAGAAGCTGCCGGCCGTCTGGCCCCACCTGGCCCGCTGCTTGCCCGCCGGCCACCCTGCGCGCCCGTCCGCCCCTGACCCGCCCTGCTTTTTCTCAAGTTCAAGGGGGGAGGGGCAGCAGCAGCAGCAGCAGCAGCAGCAGCAGCAGCAACAGCAGGGAGAAAGGGGGGAAAGGAATGGAACGCCCATGGGGGAAGTGCACAGCACGAACAACTAAAACTAAAGTGAGGACAGGACACTCAGGAGTGGGGCCGACATGGCCTACTCTGAAGGCCCAGACTAAAATTGTCTCCGAGAACGAGCAGCAGATCCCTGCCCTTTAAGTCGCATTCGCTCAACGAGTGGAGGGGGCCGAGTCCGAGGCCGAAAACCGAGTCCGAACAACGGAGGGGGCGCTCGAGGTCCTGGGGTCAGCAGACAACTCCGCCAGCCTCGAGCACAGTCTAATTAAACAGCGCCTGCACACGACGATTGGGGCATTTGCCCTGGCGGAGTCTCCCGAGGACCTCGAGACCCTTTCTCGTCGGCTGCTCGCAACTACGGCCGAACTTGCGCGCTCGTTGGGACCACCCTCCACAATTCAAACAAACTGTGTTCTGCTCTCGGAACACAGGGCGACACAACGACGACGAGGCACCAGCGACAGCGTCTCGAGCCATCGATCCAGCCCAGGCGACGAGGCGATGTCTCACGGGGTCGGAGAGCAATTTATCGATCAACTTAGGCACGCCTGGGCAGCCGCTCATTTGCAGCTGCTCTCGTGGGCCTTCTGCCAAAGCCAAGCAAATCTGCACTGTACGCCTAACTCGCCGAGCTGCCAATCGTGCCAGGATACTGAACGCCTAGATCTCGAAGCAACTGTCTTTGGCGGGCGCTTCCACCGAACATCATGCTGGAAAAGGGGCAGGACCTCCGCGGCAATTTTCATGAAACTTGAGGACCGTTGGGCCGCCATATCCAAATCAGATACCAAAAACTGCGGTGTCGGACTCGGGTGGTGATCTAGGGCAGCTTTCGCCTGCTCCTCCACCACCGACGTCGCATATGCATACATTCGCTCGGTGCCCTCCAAGCCATCAAGGACCCCTTCAGAGCGGTGCGCTTTGACGTGCTGAACAGACTGCATGAAGGGCGACCCCTCCAGCTGAAGGGCGACTTGTCTGATGCCTGCAAACTTGCTAGACGCGCGGGCCTGACGCGTGACCCGCTGCTGACAGACTCTCACTGCTTCCAAACAAGACGATGCGAGCTGAGCTTCTCGAGTCGCCACTTGACCACACAGAGCGACGGCAACGTGTTCAGCCATCGCGGGAGTCTGGGGGATCTGACCGGGGACTATCCCGCACATGACGGCAACAGGTTCATCGCCAGCGTCTGGGCGCACAGCGATTGCCCAGGCGGCTGGAGACACAGCACGGCTCTAGCAAGGGGGCCTCTGGACTGTCGCCAATCTGCACACTCTGACGGCCTCGAAAGCTCCCGAAGCCTCAGAAGTTCGGGCATGCTGATAAGAGAAAGCTCTGGGCGAGTCGCAGCACCCCAGCACATCCTACACCACTGGATCGCGGGCGCCGAGGCGAGCCCAGCGCCGCTATCTCCGTTTGAAACAACCTTGGCGGGCAGGGAAACACCAGCATGGGACGGGACATCACATTTAGCAACTGATCTTTGGTGGCTTAGCCACTCCGCGGCACTGAGCCTCAGGACCTCAACCCCAAAACTACTAGCGGGAGCGATCCCTTGTTTGTGCACTCTCTTGAAGGGGATCTCCTCGGGGCCCGTGAAACGCTTGGGGAGCGATCGGGCCTGGCAAATTCGTTCTGTCATTTCATTGAGACGTTTGGTTTGCTTCACCCGGGCCTGCCTCTCACGGCGCTGTCGCCCAGCAGCTTCATCGACTCCGAGGTAGGAGACAGACGACTTGCATGCGCTCCTGGAGAGCACTACGGCATGGGCCAGAGAGCCAGACATTGCGAGGATGGCAATCTTGTCCTGGTTCACGCCAGCATTGAGCGTCTGACTGGCTGCCATGACCTCCCTGGCTGATTCGGCAGCAACTCCCTTGGCTATGCCCAAATCACTGGCAGAATGTTGCAAGGCGCTGTCGCCCATGTAGATCTGAAATTCAATCGTGGGAATTTTATTTGGAGCATGATCATTTCATTATGGTCGACTGCGTGTACTTTGATACCTATGTCGCTGTAGGCGTCGCCCGCTGGCCCCCGAACTTGGCGAAAAGCACCTTCTGGGCGAGGTGCCGCCCAAGGCGCATGACTCTCGGGCTCGCCCGCGTGGTCTTCGCCAACTTGAGCCAGCAGGTCGGCGCACCGCGACGAAGGAACTCATGCCTGAGTGCCAGCAACGGGATCGATTCATAGCATTTGGAATAGTCGA